AATTGATGCCTTTGAATTGTGGTACTAGAAAAGACTCTTGAGAGTCCCTTGGGCTGAAAAAGATCAAACAAGTCAGTCCAAAAGAAAATCAACCCTGACTATTCATTGGAAGGACTGATGCTGAAGCTGAAGCTCCAATAGTTTGGCCACCTGATGCGAAGAGCCAACTCATTAGAAAAGACCTTGATGCTGGGAAAGATTGAAGGCAAAAGGAGAAGTGGATGGCAGAGGATGAGATGGTTAGATAGTATCACTGACTCAATGGACATGTATTTGAGAAAACTCTGGGAGAAAGTGAAGGACGGGGTAGCCTGGCATACTGCAGTCCATGGAGTTGCAAAGAGTTGGACACAATTTAGTGACCTAACAACGGCAACAACTGCTATATCCCAGTGAGGTATTGTGAGTGTTTGTTATGCAGCATCATAGCATTTGATGACTGATACAGCCTCACTAATTAGCTTCTCTGCAGGAGAGGCCTGGAGCAGGCAGACTGAGAACCTGGGACATTCCTAATAAAGAGTGATATTTCATAAATGGATAAATAATGTGGTACATCTATACAGTGGAATATTACTTAACCATAAAAAAATTGGAATTATGTCACTTGCTGCAACATGGATGGACCTAGAGATTTTCACCCTAAGTGATGAAAGGCAGAAAGAAAAAGACAAACATGATTTATCACTTATATGTAGAATCTAAAATATGACACATATCATATGATGTTGCTTAAATGTGGAATCTAAAAAATGGTTGCTGTTCAGTTGTGGCACAAAGGAACTTATTTATAAAACAGAAACAGGGCTTCCTGTTAGTCCAGTGGTTAAGAATTCACCTTGCAATGCAGGGAACATGGGTTTGATCCCTGGTCTGGGAAGATTCCACATGCCACAGAACAACCAAGCTGGTATGCCACAACTACTGAGCCCTTATGCCGCATCTACTGAGGGTGTGTGTTGCAAGTATTTAAGCCCACATGCCCTAGAGCCTGAGCTCCACAACAAGAGAATCACCACAAGGAAAAGCCCATGCACAGCAATTAGAGAGTAGTCCCCACTTGCCACAACTAAAGAAAGCCTGTGTGCAACAACAAAGACCCAGCACAGCCAAAAATAATTTTTTTTTAAAAAAGTAGAAACAGTCCAAGTGCCCATCAATGGATGACATATAAACAGTCTTGCCCCTGCACGTACCAGAATATTACTTGACCATGAACAAGAGAGAAGCACTGACACTCGCTACACAAAGACAGACCCTGAGAACACGATGCTCGGTGAGAGAAGCAGACACAGAGGGACACACAGGATGTGATCCCACCGACGGGAGACGTCCAGAGCAGGCCGATCCACAGACACAGATCGGGGTTCATGGCCGTCAGGGGCTGGGGCAGTGACTACTCGTGGGAAAGGGGTTTCTTCTGAAATTTGATCGTGAACTTAATTGCACAGCTCCTGAATATGCTAGAAACCATTGGATTGCACACTTCAAAATGTTTAATTTTATGATATGTGAATTTTACCTCAATCTTTAAAATGGGGATAAGAAATTCAGTTATGTTGGCAGGCACAATACAGTTATCAAAACTTACAGAAAAGATGGGTATCTACTGGCCTGAAAATATTCTCAATATTACCATTAAGTGGGGCTGCGGGGGGAGATTAAAAAAAAACAGCATTTTGATTCCCTGGTTACAAAATGAGTACTTCATATCCACAAGGATATCTGCATGAAAAAACCCTGAACTATTATGGATCAGGATAAGAGAGGTCTAAACCTGATGTGGACTCCTGCATAGGGTTCTGAAACAGAAAAAGGATATTACAAGAAAACTGGTGAAATCCAAACCAAGTCTATAAGACATAAATTAGCATTAATTTCTCACTTGTAACAAACATAATCGGAGACAAGATGTTTCCATGAGGGTAGGGGGTGGGGGTCTCTGTCTTATCGTTCCAACTTTTCTATATGTCTAAAATGACCCTACAATACAAAATCTCATTCTTTGTGTTGGCCGAAACCTGGGAAATTTTTTTAAAGGGAGAGAACAGTTGTTTCGGTTCTAAGGAATGAAATTACCAATAATTAGCTTTTCTCTGTTATTTTCAATATTTTCTAATTATTCCCACCCTGGCAACATTTTTTTTTTTTTTAATCAGAAAGAGGTCCTAATCTTTAGTGCCGGTCACAGTGTACGAAGCCATTCTTGCAAAATTCTTTAATATTTATGTTTCATTAGTTTCCAGGAATGTGTGCAACTGTATGCGAGAAATCTGGGAAGGTTTCTCTCTGGAATGGGGAGATGGATATTTCTGGTAGTGGTGGTGGATGATCTTTATTTGACTACATTTTTGCCACCACAGACTCACAGTGTTTGTGTAATAAAAAATAATAATGGGATTTATTTTTCTACCCACGAACTTCCCCCATGGTCTCCTGTGAATTTTCCCAATGACCTTTCCCAATACCCGCAGTAATTGATTCTCAATCAGATATTCAAATAGGTGCTTGGAGGGAAGACACAGTGATTCGGCAACTTTGATGATAAAGAATTTTTCCTTGGCCCCTCTCCCATCCTGCCGACTGCCACTTGCCTCCTACCCACTACCACCCCCTCAGCCCCCACTTTCCCAGCTCAGCCCCAACTTTGAGCCCCCTCCACTGCCTTGCAAATATCTTTTGGTTTTAAGAGTTCCCTGGGGAAGCCTTGTTCTAAATGAGGTGTAAAAATCTAAGCGGCACACACACACACAAAAAAAAAAAAATAGCGAGAGGTTGGAATCAATACCCTCTTCACAGCTGCATCGATTAACAACCATATTCTTCATTTATTAATTATGAAGGGGGATTTCAGAGCCGCCTTCTCCTTCTCTGACTGTGACATGGCGACCCCCCCCATCCCCACTTCTGGTGGCTGCCCCTCCCCCTCAAGGCTGCCCTGGGTCTGGGGGTCTCTGGTCCCCTGACTCTGCATCCCCTAGACCTGAGAAAAGAGGAGGAAGGCAAACACCTGCCCCCACCTGCGGGTCCAGCCAGAAACCGAGTGCTTGAGAATTAGCCTTGCAGCAAATTATTCTATTCCTTGGCTTCTTTACTGTTTGTTCTCCTTCTCCCCGACTAGAACATAAGCTCGCTGAGGGACCTCACCAGGTTTGTCCCTGCGCTGTTTTGATAGAAGTTTGCTGAGTGATAATGCAGGTGGAGCCTGAAGAGAGAGGGCTGTTCGGATGCAGACAGTAAGCATCAGTCCTTTGTCTGGGCTGAACCTGATTGTTACACCAGGGCAAGATATCCTCGGTCTGGGAACTCCTGGGACAGAGGCCAGGTCAGACTCACCTTTATCCCTGAGGGGCAGCATCAAGATAATCCAGAAGTGACCACAGAAAATGCCTGTGGTAGACTAACAGAGGGGTGAATTTATAAATAGATGGGTGGGTGAGTGGATGGACAGGTGGATGGAAGGGTAGATGAATCAGTGGATAAATAGGAAGGAATGGATGGGGGATGAGTAGGAGGGTTGAGGAATGAATGAGTGTAAATGGATGGTGGGTAGATGGTTAGATAGATGTGTAAATTGGGTGGAAGCTGGATGGATGGGAGGAAGGATGAGTGGATAGCTCAAGGATAGATAAACAGTGGCATGAATAGATGGATGAATAGATAAATACATGGGTAGGCAGGTGAATGATTTGGTGGATGAATGGATGGATGGATGGTTGGCTAGGTGGGTGAGTGGATGGGCAGATGAATGAATATGCATGTAATGTGTGGGAGAATGGACAGAGAAATGGGGGATGGGTGGATGAGTGAGTGAGTGGATGGATAGAAAGACAGGTAAGTGGTTAGATGAATGGGTGGAATATATGGGTGAATTGCTAGGTGGGTGGGTGGATGGATGGATGGGTCAGTGGATGGATGAATGGGTAGGTGAATGGATGGATGGATAAATGGGTGGAATAGATGGGTGAATCAATAGGTAGATAGTTGGATAGATGGATGAATGAATGGATGGATGGGTGGATATGACCAATATGGGTATATTGGTGAATGTATGGATTATTGACTGTATGGGTGGATGGATAAAGAGACAAATAACTGGATGCATTTATGGTTGGATGAATTGGTGAATGCATGCAAAATGAGTGAAAAGTTTGGTCAATGTGTGGATGGATGAATGGATAGGTGGGTGAATGGATGGGTAGAAGAGCAAATGGGGTGTAAAGTGTGGGAGAATGGATAGACAAATAGGTGGATGGGTAGATGGACAGATGGATGGCTAGAAGAACAGATAAATGGATGGATGAATGGGTACAAGGATGGGTGGGTGAATCAATGACCATGTGGGTGGACGGACTGATGGATGGATAGAAAGATGGAAGAGTCACTGGATGAATGGATACGTTGGTGAACATATGGCTTTTTGACTGTCTGAGTGGATGGATGTTGGATGAATGTCTTGGTAAAAAAGATGTATGGGTGGGTGATTTGAGTAAATCGTTGGGCAGGTGGATGGATGAACACTCAGGTGGGCACACGGGTGGATGAACCAAAGTGCTTAGGTGGGATTATTCTGCACAGCTTACTTCCTTTCCAAGTATTTCTTGTACCTGCACAGGTGCCGTGGGAGGAAACCCGTGAGGGCTCAGGAGCAGCCAGCGGTTCTCAGCAGAGGATGGCACAGGGGTCTCGGGGCTGGGGAGACCTACAGGAAAGAGTAACAGGCAGCAGAAGTAGCCACTGCACTTGGAGCTGGCAGCAGGCCAGACCTGGAAGGGGAAGTGCAGGCAGGATTCCAGACAAGGAGGGATGCTCAGAAGGGTGGGGAGCCAGAGACCCAGCCTCTGCTCTTCCAGCCCTGTCCACTTAGTCCTCCTACCGGAGGGACCCCCTGACAACCAGCTGGCACTCCCCGCCCCCCACCTTCCGGGCCCCCCCTCGACTCTGGGCACAGGGCACTTCCCCTTGCCCTGTCTGTGCCCCCCAGCCCTCATCTTCTCCAGGAGATGGCGGCAAGAAAGGGGGCGGTCCTGCGGGGGGTGCTGGGCTGCGGCAGCGGGAGCTAACTGTGGGCACCGGATCGTAGGGAGGGGCGCGTCTGCCCGAGGTCGATGGGAGTGGGGGGCCCGGGCCAGGGTTTACACTGAATCCACGAAAATCACCGAAGCTTGAAAAGTGCTCAATACTCCATCGATCTCTCTCGGCTGATCGGCGCGGACGCCACAGCGGGCTGGGAACAGGGGCAAGGTGCGCACACCGCCTCCCAGCTCAGAGCCCCGCACACCGCCCCCACTCGCCCCCAGCCTGGAGAGAACAGCCCCCTAGAGCACATGCACACCCCCAAGTCTTTCCTCGGCTGTTGTGGGTGACACGGAATTAAGACAGAAAACCTGGCTGGTCCACTGCCGGGCCGTGGGACCCTCCTGCGTTTCTGACCAGCCTCTCTGGGCCTCAGTTATACAGTCTCCGTGAAGTGGGTATCGCCACACTTATTCCGGCGGGAATTCTTGGCTTCCTCGCGTCTACCTATAGGTTCTGCATCTCTTCCCATCTTTGGGGTGAATCTCCATTCCTTCTCAGCTCAGGGGAGAGGAAACAGGTAGCGCAAAGGCTTGGAGGCCGGAGGCCATGTGGGGCATTCGGAGAACTGCGAGGACAGGCGACTGGGACCTGTCTCTGGAAGAATGATGGGTGGCCGGTGTTTGTGGAAGATTTGGTGTTTAATCCTGGAGGATGTGGGGTAGCCTGAATGGTTCAGCATCTTTCCCCTCAAAGCTATGCCTCCATTCTGACATGGCCTCCCCTGCCGCACCCCCAGGGCTCATTGGTTACCACTTCCTCTCTTGACCCCACACTGGTTCCCTGGGGACCTTTCAAGCTCAGCTCTGAAGGCCCCCTCCCCATCAGCACTCGCATATCTCCAAAGCGCAGTCTGTGACCTGTCCTACTTCTCGTCTAGCCCCATGCCAGCCAGCCTGCATTGCTAGAGTCACTTATGCTCTCTCAAACTTCCTGGACTTTGTCCTTCTGCCTGGAGGTGTATCCCCACCCAGTGCACTGGCTAAACCTTTCCTTACCCTCCAAGACCTCACCCCAGGTCTCCCAGGCAGATACCCCTCCCCAACCCTGGGACCTCCTTTGGACTGTCTGGTTCTGTGACCCGTGGCCATGATTGTGCGGGGTTGCTGGGGGCATTTGTAGCAGAGACTGGGTTGGGGACTTTGGGGACATGAAACCAGAATCTTCCTCCAACAGTCGAGGAAATTGAGTCCCACCTAGGTGTCCTGCCCCTTCAGCTTCCTCTTGCCTTTGAACCCAATCCCCAGCCCACCCGCTGGGTGAGCCCACACCACTGGTTCCCAAGAAGGAGAGAGAAAAGAGAAAAAAAAAATAGAGGAAAGAAACGTGAAGTGGCTTCCCTCCCCTCACTCCTTCACCAAATGCCCCCCTGTTTTCTGGTCTCTTCCATGAGTTCCCCCCTCATCTTCCCTGAGTCTCAGCACCCCCCAGGACCCCTATCTGACCTCTTCCCACCCCTGCATCCTTCTCCCCAAAGGTCAGGCAGCTAATTTCATTCCTGTGTATCTCTCACACTTCGATGATTAATAATTGAAGAAAATGTATTTCTTCAGGGGACCAGAATAAATCAGAAATAAGCCTAGCATTCACATTCTAACTGGAGGGCTAAGGACACCCTGGGGTGGGGGAGGTGGGGAGGAGGAGCTGAGAGAGGGGCTGTGGACTTCTGAGGGCCTAGTAGCCCTGAGAATACTCAACAGTCATCTCAAAACCATCATCATAACAGTATCAACAAGAACCATTCACGGAAAACTTACTCTGCATCCAGAGGCACTGTGCTTGTGAAGGAAAGAAGCTCTTTGTCCCCATTTTACAGACAAGGAAATGGAGACCCAAACAGGGGTGTGTCTTTTAAAAGATCTTTTTGGGGGGTGTGGACTATTTTAAAGTCTTTATTGAATTTGTTACAGTATTGTCTCTGTGGTTTATGTTCTGGTTTTTAGGTTATGAGGCATGTGGGATCTTAGCTCCCCAACCGGGGCTCGAACCCACACACCCTGCATTGGAAGGCAAAGTCTTAAAACCACTGGACCACCAGGGATGTATCTTGCCCAGAGTCACACTGCTTGGGATTCAGGCTCAGGTGGGTCCTATGCCACACCTGGTGCTCTGTCCAAGACAGGGTATCTTCCCTTCGACTGGAGTCTGAGGCTTAGGCCCATGTGGGGTTGGCCTGACTCCATATGGGGTCTGTTCACTACCCCAGGACCTGCCATATGGGGACTGATGAGGTCAAAAGTCACCAAGGTGCACCCATGTTCACAGCACCATGATTCACAGCAGCCAAAAAGTGGAAACATCCAAGTGTCCATCAACAGATGATGGATAAACAAAACGTGGCCCATCCATACAGCAGAACTGTTATGTATTAATGCTACTCAGCCATAATAGAAATGAAGCACTGACACTCACTACAACATGGATGAACCTTGCGGACGTGATGCTCGGTGACAGAAGCAGACACAGAAAGACAAATACTGTCTGATTCTACTCACAGGAGGTCCCTAGAGGAGTCAGATCCACAGAGACAGGAGGTAGATGGTGGGGCCAGGGGCTGGGAGAGGAGATGGGGAGTCAGTGTTTCATGTGGGCAGAGCTTCAGTTTTACAAGATGAGAAGATTTCTGGAGCTGGATGGTGGGGATGGCTGAACAACAGTGTGAATATACTTAATACCACTGAACTGTGTACTTAAATTGGTCAATTTTGTCATGTATATTTTACCCGCAATTAAAAATTTTTCTTAGAAAAAGGAACCAAGAGCTAACACACACTACTACATGGACAAACCTTGAAATTGTGATGCTCCGAGAAAGAAGCTGGACATAAAGGGCCACGTAGTGTGTGATTCCATGTCTATGAACTGTCCACAGTAGGCAAGTTCACAGACACAGAAAGTAAATGAGTGGTTATCAAGGACTGTGGAAGGGTGGGGGGCTAGAGGGTGAGGGAAGGGTGACGGCTAATGGGGATGGGGTTTTATTTAGGGGTGATGAAAATGTTTCGGAGCAACAAAATTGTAATGACTATACAACAGTGTGTACAAATTAAATACCACTGAGTTAGACACTTTAACATGGTTAATTTCATGTTATAAGAATTCCCCCTCAACAGAAAAGAAGAATATATGGTGAGGGCTGCCCATGCCCACCTCTGAGCATCTGTCTGTTTTAATGACATTGACGCCCTCCCATGAGGTGGAGTAACAAACTTTAAATGTTTTTTATTCAGTTTTAGACATGTGGCAGTGTGTGTCTATGTGAGGTCTCTATTGTCCTTTTTAAAAAATATTTGTTTATTTGGCTCTTCAGGGTCTCAAGTAGTATCATCCATCTTCATTGTGGCATGCAGGATCTTTAGTTGTGGCATGTGAACTCTTAGTTGCAGCATGTGGGATCTGGTTCCCCACCAGGGATCAAACCTGAGGCCCCTGCATTGAGAGCACAGAGTCTCATCCACTGGAGCACCTGGGAAACCTCTATTAGCCATGTTCTGATCCCCAACTCATTTCAACCAGTTCCACTTACCCTGTGCTATGTTCCCAAAAGAACACATGCTGGGACTAGACTTGCTGCCCAAGGAAAAGGTATTGATAAAGAGATGCCACCTCCTTGGGTGGAATGCTGGGTGGATATTAAAGGTGATGGAGGAGGAGAAATTTTTTTCAAACTTTAAACTTTTTATTTTGTATTGGGGTATAGCTGATTAACAATGTTGTGGTGGTTTCATGCCAACAGCAAAGGGACTCAGCCATACATATAAATGTATCCATTCTCCCCCTAACCCCCATCCCACTCGGGCTGGCACATAACATTGAGTAGAGTTTCATGTGCTACACAACAGGTCCTGTTAGTTATCCATTTTGAATATAGCAGTGTGGACATGACTTTCCTAAACTCCCTAACTATCCCTTTCCCCTGGCAACCATAAGTTTGTTCTCTAAGTCTGTGAGTCTCTGTTTTGTAAGTTCATTTATATCATTTCTTTTTAGATTCTACATAAAAGACATGTCATATGATATTTCTCCTTCTCTGTCTGACTTATTTCACTCAATATGACACTCTCTAGGTCCATCCATGTTGCTGCAAATGGCATTATTTCATGCTTTTTAATGGCTGAGTAATATTCCATTGTATATATGTACCACATTTTATTTATCCAGTCCTCTCTTAAAGGACATTTAGGTTGTTTCCATGTCTTTGCTATTGTAAACAGTGCTGCAATGAACATTGGGGTGCATGTATCCTTTCGGATCATGTTTTTCTATGAGGAGAAATTTTAATAACATGGGAAGATGGCCAAGTGATGAAATGAAAGACACTGACCACATGACAGCTGGAGGTCACATGAGCCCATTTTGGTAAAACCCTGGGCCTCTGTCAGCATCTCCAGAGCCAGCTGCATGGAGCAAAGTCCTGAGACCGTGGAGAAGGCCACCCCCTCATATCCACTTGCCTCTATGCCCACCTAGTGAATCAAATAATGTCCATCCATAGTTATGTCCACCCAGAACCTTAGAGTGTGGACTTATTTGGAAATACAATCTTTGCAGATGTAATTAAGATGAGGTTATCCTGAATTAGGGTGGTCCTTAAATCCAATAACTGGGGGTCCTTATGAAAAAAAGGAGAGACACACAGAGACACAGAGAGAAGACAGCCTTGTGAAGACAGAGGCAGAGCCTGGCCAGGGTAGGTGGGGTGACTACAAGCCAAAGGATGCCAAGATTGCCAACAACAGAGACCCTTGGACTGCAAGGAGATCAAACTAGTCAATCCTAAAGGAAACCAACCCTGAATATTCATTGAAAGGACTAATGCTGAAGTTGAAACTCCAATAGTTTGGTCACCTAATGCGAAGAGCAGACTCATTGGAAAAGACCCTGATGCTGGGAAAGATTGAAGGCAAAAAGAGAAGGTGTCAGCAGAGGATGAGATGGTTAGATAGCATCGCCAACTTAATGGACATAAATTTGAGCAAACTCCAGGAGATAATGAAGGGCAGGTAAGCCTGGCATGCTGCAGTTCATGGGGTCGCAAAGAGTTGGACACAACTTAGCAACTAAACAACAACCAGCAGCAGGAATGGCCTGTAAGGACCCTCCTAAAAGAGTGAGCATGGCTGTGTGACACCTTGATCTCAAAAGGGGAGAAGAGCCTTTCTCCTCCAGACACGCTGGCCTCATATTTCCTGCTTCCTCATCTGTACAATGGGAATATGTTATACAATGCACAGGATTTTGAAGAACCAATGTGCTTATACATACAGAACACTTAGCACAGCCTAGGTCGCTGTCAGTACTCAATAAATACTGTGAAAAAGATGACTCTGAGGCAGGGACAAGCAAGGAGGAGGAATGGGGACGGCCCTGATTCGATAACAGCTGCCAATGACCTTCCCTTTCTGGGCCTTGGGATTCCCATCTGAGAACAAAACACGGCTGATATCAGCTGCGAAACAAAGAGCTTTATGCGACACCTCACAGAGCCAGACCAGGCAGGTTCTACTTCACCCCTTGGTACAGGTGGGGACCCTGAGGCTGTGGCCCATCTGCCCCCGGGGCCACTCAGGGTAGTGGGGACACGATGCTACCTCGGAGAATCTGGCCCTCGTGTGCACCTCCGGGGTGAAGCTGGCCACCAACTGGCTCCCTTGGCCAGGATGTTGGGAGATTCTAACTGGAGGGTCAACCAAGCAGAAAGCACTGGATGAACATGAGTTGTTACTGCTGCTATTGTTATTATTATTATTATTATTGAAAGCAGCAGGAGGGGAGGAGGTGGCGGATGGCGGGGTGCCCCTCCCCTTAAACCCTTTTCCGAGCTTATTAAGCGCCTCGGGCCGCGGCGATCGATGGCCACTGGGCGCCGGCTGCAGTATCCCTCCCGGCCTCGGGCCGCGCATGCGCGCGGTTGTCGGATTGATCGCGACAGCCTCGGATCTATTGCTCTCCGGCCCCGCCCCTCCTCGGCCCGCGTTGCCAGGCAACCGCGGATCGGCGAGCTCCCATTGGCCGGCGGCGCGCCGGGGTCCCGGGCGACGCGTGGTCAGTTGGTCAGCGTGGCCGGGGGCCTGGCTCCGGGCGCGGGTCGATGCCGCCTCCCATCTGACCTTTCCCGGCTTGGGGAGGGGGATGCAGGCGGGAAGGGGGCCAAGGGAGGATGGAGCAACCGGCCGGTCTTGGAAAAAAGTTTATTGACCCGTGTGTTATCTCGGGGACGCACGTCTTCCTGAGGTGGGGGCGACTGAACAGCCAGGGTAGGGGGTGAGGCGGCGGTAGGAACTCTCCCCAGCGCTCCCTTGGCCCCAGGATGCTCCGGACTGCATCGGTGAGCTCCACCCTCCCTGGCTTGGCTGGGCCCATTCCCTGACTGGGGAAACCAAGACTGGTAAGAGCTCAATACTTGCCTGAGTCACAGGTGATAGGATGAAGATGGGCCTGCTACCCAGAAAGTGTGGCTCTGGGGCGTCGGATTCTCTCTGCCACATCAGTCTGACCACTAGACACCCACATCCAAAGGAGATAGAAACATTTATCCAGGCTCATTGGGTCCTACGTGATCACTCCCCCGTAAGGAAAAACGATGACTTAAACTAAAATGTAATGTTAAAATTAAGGACTTGGGGATGCGATGGGTTCGTCCTGTTTAAAGGGCACCCCACTTTCGCAGAAGTCTAGGGAGACCCAAACTAAGAGTAAGGACTTCAGAAAAGACACTGTTTATTTTGAAAGGGTTGGGAGAGTGTGAGGTGTCCTAAACCTCCCAGTTTTATTTAAAAAATCCCCAAACACCCAACAGTCAATTGGGTTTGTTAAAATGCACAATTGGATTTTGTCAAAGGAAGGTTTATTATAAAAATAAAGACGTTGTTTATAATAAAATGGTAGGGTTCTTGACGTGGGCAAAAAATATTTCTTCGAGGGTGAAAAACAGGATTGAATTATTTGATGCAAATGTGGACTGTTAAAAAATTTAAATATACACAATAGTTTTAATATGCATCCTGGACCAAGCCCAGTGCTGAGAGGTTTATTTAAATGATCTCAACTAATTCCCCACACAACACACACAGCTGCAAATCCGTGTGGTTTTGCGGGAGGGGGGGGGTACTCTAAATTCAGTTCTATGACCACTTTAAAGGGAACAGAAAAGAACAAAACTACTGGCTGCAGGCTCTCCCACCTAAAATCAGCTGTGGTCTTTCTGTTCAAGCCTCCCCAGCCTCTCTGCCGGATGCAGACACACTTTATAAGGCTGTCAGCCTCCCCTGGCTTTGCATTTATTTTATTTTGTTTTTCGCATCATACTTCACCCAGTCTCCTTCCCTGGCCTTTGCGTTTCTAACTCTTAGCAACTGAGGAAGGTTGCATTGACCGGTGGAGTGTGTGGGGGTTATTTTTGAAAGCAGATGCTGGAATTCAATTTTTATTTTAACCTGGTTATTGAGTGGAGTGGGGGAGGGAAGTGGAGGTTGGCCAATTCATGTGCAAGATGAAAAAGCTGGATTTTATCAAAGGCTGGGCTGTTTTGACAATGGCTGATTGGGCTTGTGATATGTAAGTGGTTCTTTGGCAGTCCAGAATGTGTGTGTGTATGTGTGTGTGCAAATCTGGGTGCACTTGAGTGTGTAAATGTGTATGCATTTGAGTAGCTATGTGCACATATGAATAGGTATGAGTGTGTGTGTGTGCACTGTATGAGGAGGTAAGGAGAGGGAGGAGGCAGAGGCTGTTCTGTGCATGTGACTGTATATTCTTTGTGTGTGTGCGTGGGTGTCAGTGGATATGTGTGTGTGATATGGACACACACATGCATGTATTTGTGTGTGTGTGTGTGTGTGAGCATTTGTATCATGTGTAAGAGTGTGTGCAGGTATATTTATGCAGGAGTGTGTGAGAAGATACGTGTGCAAGTGCATGCCTATGTGCATGTGTGAGTGGTTACAGGTTACACAGGTGTGTGTGCTTGCAACCATATGCCTTGCACCTCCACCCCTCTAGCTTTCCTCGCTCTCCTGAGCTCAACTCCCAACTTTCTGAGGCTGGTCTGTCTCTGCCTGGCTTCCCTGCCTTTCCTTCTGCGGTTCCTGCTGCAGGGAACCCTCTACACAGCTGACCCTTCTTGGGAGCCCTAGGATTCACCACTCAGGACAACATGGAGAGGCATTCATTCCATAAAGGTTCATGTCCCCTGGGAGCTCTCTGAGGGCAAGGGCCTGTGTCCGAAGCATGGCTTGGCCCTCAGTCTCCAGAGCCCAGGACAAGACAACCAGACACAAGAACATGACCTGGAAGATGATAACTGGAAACTAGTTATCTGGACTGTCGGTGCTAGCACCCTGCGCTGTGGGCGTCGTGGATGCCTCCTTGGTGGATGGGAAACTGAAACCCAGACAACAGGCCCCACCCCAGGATGTGCCTCCTACCTCACCAAGTCCTGACACCACTGGGTGTCCGCAGTCCTAGAACACTGTCCCTGCTGGACGCAGCCGGGCGCATGGATTTCCGAAGCCATCTCTCCATTTGGCAGCTTTATGAACCCAGTTCGACGGAGCAAGTGATTGACGTGTTTGCTTATTAGCTACTCCCGCCCTCTTGGGACCTCAAGCAGGTGCACCCACCTCCATCGCTATCAGCCCAGGAGGACAGGGGACACCAGGACCCCCTTGCAGACCCATCACACACACACACACACAGTTGCTCATAGTTACCTACTGTTGGCAACTGCGTCCATTTGAGTGGATCTTTCCAGAAGGCAATGTGCCAACATCCAACAAAAAATTTAAAAGCCAAATTGAAAAGGACAGTTTGGTGAAGACAAGGACTTTTATCTGTCCCCTTCCTCCCTGCCTCAGGTCCTGAACACCTTAAAACCATGCCCAGAACATGATAGGTGCTCAGTAAATAGTAAACAAATTCCCCTGGCCTGTGTTCTCACTGCTACAAGTGTATACCACAGGGGCACACATAGTGTGGCCGTATTCAAGAGCCTGTTCTCAGTGCTGTGCATTGTTCCCAGCAAAAATCTGGAACCAGCCTGAACAGTCAGGAATAAAGTGAAAGTCACTCATTCATGTCTGACTCTTAGTGACCTCATGGACTGTAGCCTGCCAGACTCTTCTGTCCATGGAATTCTCCAGGCAGGAATACTGGACTGGGTTGCCATTCCTTCTCCAGGGGAATCTTCCCAACCCAGGGATCGAACCCAGGTCTCCTGCATTATGGGCAGATTCTTTACTATCTGAGCCACCAGGGAATACAGCCAGGGATAAGATGCTGTTGAAATCACCTACAGAGCATCTGCAGCTCTGAGCACGACACGGCTGTTCCAAAGGCAAGTGTCGCCCAGGCAGCAGCATTGGATGTTCCTAAGATGTATTGGTGCAAAGGCTGACTGCCCCCAAAGAAGCTAGCAACTTATGTCCATGCAAAAACCTGCATGAAGTTGTTGAAGGCAGCATTATTCTCAATTGCCCAAACCCATAACAAATGATGCCCTCCAGCAGGTGGACATATCAACCAGAAGACGTGGACTCAGCACTAAGGAGAAAGGTGCCATCAAGCCCCAGAAAGACAGGGAGAAAACTTAAGCAAACATGACTCAGTGGAAGGAGTCATCTGAAAATGTTCCACACTGTGGTTCCAGCTCTGGGATGTTCTGGAAGAGGCGGGGCTCTGCAGACCACAGAAGGATCCGTGGTTGTGGGGAAGGGGCATGGATGGGTGGGGCCAGAAGGGTTTTAGAGCAGTGAAACCATTCTGTTCTGTATGATGCTATAATGGTGGATGAACAATATTGTGCTGTGAAAGCCCACAGGACTTAACGACAGAAAGAGTGAGCCTTCATGTAAGTTCTTGTTATTCAGTCACTCAGTAGTGTCCAACTCTTTGTGACCCCGTGGACTGCAGCATGCCAGGCTTCCCTGTCCTTCACCATCTCCTGGAGCTTGCTCAAATTCAAGTCCATTGAATTGGTGATGCCATCCAACCACCTCATCTTCTGTTGTCCCTTTCTCTACTTGCCTTCAACCTTTCCCAGCATCAGGGTCTTTTCCAATGAGTCGGTTCTTCATATCAGGTGACCAAAGTATTGGAGCTTCAGTTCAGCATCAGCCCTTCCAGTGAGTATTCAGGGTTAATTTCCTTTCAGATTAGCTGGTTTGATCTCCTTGTAGAGACTCTCCAAGGGACTCTCAAGAGTCTTCTCCAGCGCCACAATTTGAAAGCATCAATTCTTCGGTGCTCAGACTTCTTTATGGTCCAAGTCTCACATCTGTACATGACTACTGGAAACACCATAGCTTTGACTATATGGACCTTTGCTAGCAAAGTGATGTCTTTGTTGTTTAGTACACTGTCTAGGTTTGTCATGTAAGTTACGGACTTTAATGTGCCTTAACAAAGGACCTCAAACCAAGTGGCTTAAACAACAGAAACGATGATTCCCTCACAGCTCTGGAGGCCAGAAGTCCAAGATCAGGGTGTGGGCAGGGCTGGTTCCTTCTGAGGCCATGTGGTGGTGTCTGATCCAGGCCCCTCTCCAGCTTCTGCGGGTCGCTGGCAACCCTTGGTGACCTTGGCTTCTGGAAGCATCCCTCCCCTGATCTCAGCCTTCATCTTCACATGGCCTTTTCCCTGTGTGTGTGTTTCTATGTCCAAATGTCCTCTTCTTAAAAGGACATTTTAAATACCTATTTAAATATCTATTTGAAATACCTCTCTCAACTCGATCATCTGCAAATACCCTGTTACCTAACAAGGTCACATTCACAGGTACTGAGGGTTAGAACTTCACTCTTTCTCACAAGGGACACAATTCAACTGATAACAATTACTTGTAATGTATTAATGTTGGTTCATTAATTGCAGCAAGTGTACCACACCACTGCTAATAGCAAAGGATGCTCAGTGTGAGTATATGCATGTGTGGTGGGGGTGTGTATAGGAATTTCCTACACACTGTTCATTTTTCCTATGAATCTGAGACTATTCTAAAAAAAGCAGAGACTAGGGCTTCCCTGGTGACTCAGTATTGAGAATCCACCTTGCAAGGCAGGGGACACCAGTTCGATTCCTGGTCCAGGAAGATTCTACATGCCATGGAGCAACCAAGCCCACATGATGCAAGTACTGAAGCTTGCATGCCCCAGAGCCCATGCTCCACAACAAAAGATGGCACCATGCTGAGAAGCCCATGCAACACAACTAGAGCATAGCCCCTGCCCTCTGCATC